TCAACCGACTGAGCCACCCAGGTGCCCTCTGTTAGATATTATTCTTTGGGGGTTTTTTTTGTTTTCACAACTGTTTAAAAATGTGAAAACCATTCGTAGCCCAATGTATGAAAATAGGCCATATGTCCCACAGGCCACAGTTTACTAAGCCCATTCTAGGTGAGAGAGCAGCCTGTTTACTTAGGGGACAGTCATGAGAAAGCTGTGCCCCAGCGAGCAGGAGGAAGATTAATGTGTAGCCCAGGGAGAGGCTGAAACCAAACTGTAGAGTGCTGAAAAAGACAAAGGATGTTAGGTGGTTGTAACAAAGAGGAAACGTGGTTGTGACGGCACAGCTCCAAGGCAGTGAGTGACCCAGTGCTCCAAGGCCCCTTGGTCTGATAGGCAGAGTCAGGTGGCCTATGGGGAGAAGGGATTCACTGAAGCAGGAAGCCCACCAGGAGACGCTCGCTCACCAGGTCACCATCATCTTCGGGAACAGCAGTGGGGCCACACCAGACCAGGGTGAACAGGCAAGAAGGGAGAAAAGTGGGGGATAGGAAAAAAATGTTTTGCTTTCATTGTACAGCTGTTTCTGTTCTCCCCAAGTCAGAATACAGGATACGTTATTTTTTTTTAAAGATTCTTATTTAAGGGCGCCTGGGTGGCTTAGTCGTTAAGCGTCTGCCTTCGGCTCAGGTCGTGATCCCAGGGTCCTGGGATTGAGCCCCGCATCAGGCTTCCTGCTCAGTGAGCCTGCTTCTCCCTCTCCCTCTGCCTGCTGCTCCCCCTGCTTGTGCTCTCTCTCTCTTTCAAATAAATAAATAAAATCTTTAAAAAAAAAAAAATTCTTATTTATTTGAGAGAGAGAGAGAGCGTGCAATCCAGCACCAGCAGGGAGAGGGGCAGAGGGAGAAGCAGACTCCCCACTGAGCAGGGAGCCGAATGTGGGGCTCGATCCCAGGACCCCGGGATCATGACCTGAGCTGAAGGTAGACATTTAACCGACTGAGCCACCCAGGCACCCCAGAATACAGGATACTTTAAAACGATGCCTTTGTTTCTATTACTTTGTTTAATTACAAAACAAACAATATAAGCTTCCAGAAGGAAGAATCAAAAGCTCCACCTCTATGCTAAGGGTGACCACCATGGACTGTTTATTGTGTCTCCTTCCAGATAATTTTTAAATTTCTGTATTTTAAAGAAGAATAAAAAGTGTAAGCTGTTCATACTTTCCTTAATTGGTTTATACAACTTAAACAACAGGGAAGTTTTTGTAAGCCCGTGGCTCTCAACTATACTGTTACGATGTCATAGAGCTGTGCTCTCCCCCTCTGTGGCCATCAGCCACGAGTGGCTTTTATGACGAAGATTCTGTAGAGTGCAGATTTGCGTGCTCCAGTCACACAGAGAGCGTCTTACGTGCCCAGTGGCTGCGCATGTCCGGTTGCTGCCGTGCTGCGCCCCGCAGATAATGGAATAGTTCTGTCATTGCAAAAGGTTCTGTTGGACATGCTGTTCTAGAGTACCAGCTGATTGTGAGATTTGCTGCAAATAATTTATCACTAGTATGTAAGTCAGGTCCCCTCGTGTGCCCATGCACTTGGCCATGTGAGTGGATGGTCATGTCTGGGAACCGGCATAACCAGAGGTCTGTCTGCTTGCCCTGGAGCCCCATGGGCAGTCTAGGGCACCTCACTCCTGGGGGTGGGCTGGCACACAAACCTTGTCTGTTCGGTAGGGGTAAATAAGGTCGGGGCCTGGTATTTTAAACTATTAAGTCAGCTATGTGATTGCAGTGTGTAGTTTAAGGTAGTCGTTTATTGGACGTTCGTTAAAAAGAACGAGATGAAATAATTGTGTTGGGTATGCAGATACTGGAGACAAGGAACAGGTGTTTGCTGTGATGCTGTGGGTTTCTGAGGCCCCAGACTTACGTGGGAGGTGCTGCTGCTAGTCCGTGTGACAGGATCGTTGATGGAGCAGCCCTCCTGGGGCCCTGGGGTGTCCCTGCTGGACAGCCGGCCTTTTAGGGGTCTAACCTGAGAGCACGCTGCCCGCTCTGTGGCTCTTCTTGGGGCTGCAGCGCTACCTCTGCCTTTTGAGAAAACAAAGTAAATTAGAACCAGCTAGAAAACAAATCAGTTCAGGGGCTGAACTTGATACGGGAGCAAGCAGAGAAACCTCTGTCAGACTTGAGTTTGTAGACACTAGCAATGAGGCTAAAATGAAGCTCGAGAGGAAGGAAGAAGAATCCTAAGCTCCAGATGGCAAACTTTTGCTTAGTGCGTTTTATGGTTTGTTTGTTTTTTAAAGATTTTATTTATTTATTTGAGAGAGAGAATGAGAGAGAGAGCACATGAGAGCGGGGAGGGTCAGAGGGAGAAGGTGAGCAGGGAGCCTGATGTGGGACTCGATCCCGGGACTCCAGGATCATGACCTCAGCCAAAAGGCAGTCGCTTAACCAACTGAGCCACCCGGGCGCCCCTTTGTATTATCATCATTATTATTATTATTTTAAGATTTTGTTTATTCAACAGAGAGATAGCGAGAGCAGGAACACAAGCAGGGGGAGCAGGAGAGGGAGAAGCAGGCTTCCCGCTGATCAGGGAGCCCAATGCAGGGCTCCATCCCAGGACCCTTGGATCATGACCGAAGCCGAAGGTAGACGCTTAATGACTGAGGTACGCAGGCATTTTATGTTTTTAATAGTTTCTGGGTTTTTTTTAAAGATTTATTTATTTGTTTTAGAGAGAGAATGGGAGGGGCAGAGGAAGAGGGAGAATCCCAAGCAGAATCCTCGCTGAGCATGGAACTGGACGAGGGGCTCAATCTCGTGACCCTGAGATCACGTCCTGAGCTGAAATTAAGAGTCAGATGCTTAACTGACTGAGCCACCCAGGTGGTGCCCCATGAGTTTCTGAGTTTTGCTTCAATCCACCTTTATTAAGAAAACAGGGGCGCCTGGGTGGCTCAGTCGGTTGAGCGTCTGGCTCTTGTTTTTGGCTCAGGTCATGATCTCACGGTTGTGGGATCGAGCCCCGAGTTGGGCTCTGTGCTCAGCTGAGAGTCTGCTTGGGATTTTCTTTCTCCCTCTCCCTCTGCCCCTCCTCCTGCACGCGTGTGTGCATGCTCTCTTTCTAAAATAAATAAATCTTTAAAAAAATGTATAAATTGGAGTTGTTGACCTCCATGTTGTGGTGGTTAAATTACAGCCTGTGTACCTTGGGGCTTATTTAATTTTAGACTTTGTTGAAAGAGAAGAAAAAAGTAAATAAAAAATATATTTTAAAAGGCCATAGTCAGGGCCCCTGGCTGGCTCAGTCGGTGGAGCATGCAACTCTTGATCTCATGGTTGTGAGTTCAAGCCCCATGGCGGGTATACAGATTACTTAAAAAGAAAAAGAAAAAAAAAAGCACAGTCATCTTTCCATATCTGTAAAGACGAGGCTCTCGAGCTGCAGAGTTGTCCATTACAGGGCACACCCTTAACTGTCAGGTGCTGTGTTCTCTTTTTCGTGTCAATTTCTTATTTTTTAAATTAATTTTTCTTTTAATTAATAATTTTACTTAAGCCTTATACATGGCGGCAAAATTAAGATACACAAACATACATAATGAAAAGTAATTTTTGAAAGTTAGCTTCTAATTAGAAAACAAATTTAGCCTGATAAAGGCCTGTTAGTTTTTTAGTGTGTCAGAGAAATCAAGGAGAACACACGTGAGGGTAGGGAGAGAGGTTCTTGGATCTGCTGACGCGGATCCGGCATTTGTCCTTCTGGAGAGAGCGTTGGGCAGAATGAACAGGTCAGAAGGTAGGTTCAGGGAGCCCCGGGAAGCCAAAGAATCTTCTATTTCAGGAGAAAGCTGAGGCTCGGCAGTGTCTCTACGTGGACAAGAGGGGGGCTCTGGACTTGAACTGGGGGAGCTTCAGAAGCAGTGTGGGTGGCAGTTGAGAGCAGGACTGTGCCACAGACTAGCTAGCTGGGCCACCTGGATGCCACTCTGGGCCTTGGTTTCCTCACTGTGGAATAGAGACTGCAGTGGCATCTGCCCCACAGGGACACCGAGCAATAAAGCCGTTCGTGTGTGTAAAGCAGGTGAAACGGTGTCTGGGACACACAAACATTGCAGAAGTGTCTTCTTTTATAATTATTAGGATGTAGCTGAAGTGGGAGGCCCCTGAGTTGAGCCAGGATATTCACCCCAAATAGCTGGGGGTCTCCACCCGAGCACAGCACCCGATTTATTTAGGTGCTCAATAGATGTTGCCTTGTTTTTTCCACGTTGATCTTATCTACAGGGTGTGATTGGGAAACTCTCGTTCAGTTTCACGCACCTCTTCTTTATTTCCAGGCAAAGGAAACCAACAGTAAGCAGAAAGAATTCGAAGAGGCGGCAAAGAGAGTGCGCTGTGCCATCGAGCAGCTGACTGCGGTGGAGTAAGGCCTCTGCCGAGTGCACTGCTCCCGGCCTGACCCTTTCCCAGCGCCTCAGGGAAGGAGAACGTCCACGATTTGAAATTAGAATATTTAAGCTATACTTTTGGTTTTTTCTTGAACGTGGTGCCAGAGGCTGCTTCTGTTTGTGCAGCTGGTGCTGCTAAGTCCAGTAACCGATTCTCTCATTTTTCCTTGGTAGTTTTTGCGCCATTGGTTCCTGGACTTGCCAGGGTGAGAAGGTGAGAAGTGTGTTCTCATGGGCAGAGCCCTTCCACAGTGAAGCACCGGGGCTTCAGGTCGACGGCCCACTGTGGAGCCTGAGATTTGATGCCCGAATGTAATCATAGGTCTGTTGTGACTGGACCAATAGAGAATTAAGGATACCATTTTAGATTTTATCTGTCTAATAATCTGAATTTAGGGTGTGCATTTCTTGTGTTCCCGCTACTCTGTATTATCTCGCCGGTCCATCTACAAGTCCTGCGGCCGTCCTTCTCCCCCGTCAGGTCTGTGGTGCTGCATCCCTCCTTCCCTCCAGAGCAGATCACACAAGATGCCATCCCTGCCAGAGTCCTGAGCTGCTGTGTGTGGGAAGGGCCTTCCTTGCCTGTCTCGTCATTTTGGAATCTTCACAGGGGGAGCTAGCAGAAGCCAACCCCAGGCTGCCTCGGGCCCCCAGGTGTGCCAGAGCCCTTCCGGGACTGAAGCCCGAATGGCAGGGGGGTGGAGGAGGCCTGATGTCTTGACAGTAAAGCCAGCCTCTTGCTTGGAGGTCAGTTGAAGATCTGTCACCTCCGGCATGCGCCACAGGCACATGGCAAGGTTGTGACATTTCTCTAAAACAGACAACGAGAAGGTCCTTGATGCCAGACAGTGCGTTTTCCAGAGGCCTGGCTCCCTTCTCTGAATGAGCTGTGACACAGATGGGGCAGGCAGGGCTGGGATGAGAGACCCATGGAAGGAATTCCTGGTCTTCCCATTCCCAGTACTCTGCAGACCGCTACTTCCCTTTCGTGACGCGGGTTAGGTGGCTGATAAGGCACCTGTCTTTCTAATGTGAAGCCCCCTAAGGAGGACAGAGGGATCAGTTAATGTAAAAAGTGGATTGGAAATGCCTTTTGGAGGAAACTTTTTTATAGATAACTTGTTTATATTGTTTGCAGTCTTACGGGATCATAGATTTCCGTGATGTCAGTTAGAGCAGTGGTAATAAACCTGGCGGCTGGGGCCCCACGCTTGTTGCCTCTGACCTGTGGTTTCCTCGTCTGTAACACGGGTCATACAACTGTACCACCTCAGCTGGTTTCTGTGTAGGTGCACGGGGGGACTTAAGACAGAGTCCTCAGCTTCTCCTCAGGCTCTGCAATGTCGCTTTCTTATTTTGTTTGAATTATTACTTCACAGCACGGCACAAACTACAATTACAGTGAGCACAAAGCTGTTCTAAGTCATTGGGGAAATCCGCGTGAGCCTTAGGTGGGTTTGGAGACAGGGGAGCAGGAAATAGCAGAAACCGTCACTTATGAGCTTGCTGCAGCGTTAGCCCTCGGGAGCCGTCGGCACTCGCCGGTGGCACCCTCCCTGACAGCAAAGCAGCGGCCTGAATCCTTTTTAAATACTTAACTCCGAGCTCTGGGGACTTGGTGGGCTGCAGCGGGTGATCTGTCAGCCTCGATTGGCTGTCTCTCCATTGCTGCTACGCCCCCGACCCCCCCCCCCCCCCCCCCGCGCTCATTGACATTCTCCCCGTCCCCTCCCCGAGGCCAGCTCACACAGGGCTGAAGCCTGGTGTTACAGTGATAGATCTTATTTCTCCCTCCATGAAGAGAAGCTGCAGGGTGGATTGTTAACAGTCCTATTGGAGGTCATCTTGTCATTTCTGAAAAATAAAAACCATTTCATTTCAAACAAAGCTGCAGACCCTACTGGGTTTTTAAAATCTTGTCAGGTCTTTGTGGTGGTTCCTTAGCCACCTGCTGCTTCCCACCCACACGGCTGTGGGGCAGGGATGAGCTCTGGCAGACGCAAAGCCAGCTCTGGGCTACAAGGCCCACTTGTGTGTGTCATCTGGACCCATTGCAGCTATAAACTGGCTATGCAACGTGCATCTCAGACTTCTATTTTTCTGCCACATCCCAGTCAGAGAGGGAAGTGTATTTTTCCCTGCAAGCTTGGAGAATAAATTATTTACTGCAGTGATTTCTGTTGGGGGGGAAAAAAGCTCTCCAGCCTCTGTACTCATCTAAGCTGCTTAATTTTGATATTTGTGCCAGTCTGTAAATGGATCCTTCACTGTAATAACGGGTCCTTACAAGCTGGCTTTGTAGAGAAGCTGGGCCTTTTCACAGTGGGCAGTGATGCGGTTCTTGGCTTCGTCAGGCTGTGCTGTGGGGTGAGACCCAGCTGGAGCTGACCCTCAGTCCATCTTACGCTCCCCTTCTGCAGAGGTATTTTCCAGAGACCATATTTATCACTGGGCCTTAATGTCTGTCCACTCGGAACACTAAAGAGAAACCTCCATTAATCAAGCCACAAGCCTTTACCGAGGGCCAGAGCCTCAGGTTTTTTTTCAAATATGTGTCCCCTTTTGGGTTCTCCAAGTCTGGTGGGAGTCTGGAAAGGGCTGTGATAGGTGGTTATGGGCTGTCGGGTGCAGATGGTGGTGTACAGGTTAGAGGGCTAGAGGCCAGCCTCGGGAATCCGAATCCTCCCCCTGTCCCCAGCACAGTGACAAGTGCCAGCCTGACCAAGTCCTGCGGCCAAAAGTGACCTGCCAAGAGTGGAGCCATCGGCCACTGCCTGCAGGTTGGCACCCCCTTGGGGTGCTGACCATTCTTTGCAGGCTGCCCTTAAAGAGAAATAACTCACAATTGCCAATAAAGTCTTATGTGATCTTATCTGCATTTTTTTCATGCAGAAACAGAGACTTGGCAAAGAGGCAAAGTAGCTTGTCCAAGATCGTACAACTAGGAACTATTAGGGTTGAGGATTGAACCCAGGCATCCTGGCCCCAGAAATGGGCCCCCCCTGATGAATGACGCGGCCCGGCCTTGCGGGTGTGGCCGGGGTCGACTGCCCGACTCCAGAGACAGGGCCATCTTGAAACCCTCCCCATTGCATTTCTCAGACGGCCTTGTCAGAAAGGCCTTCATTCTGTTGAACGGAAACATGTCTCCCCAAGGGTTCCGTTGACCCTCCTAGTACAACATTTAAAAAAATTTTTTAAAAAGATTTTATTTATTTGACCGAGCAAGTAGGCAGAGCAGCAGCAGAGGGAGAGGGAGAAGCAGGCTCCCTGCTGGGCAGGGAGCCCGACGCGGGGCTCCATCCCAGGACCCCGGGATCATGACCTGAGCCGAAGGCAGACACTTAACTGAGCCACCCAGTCACCCTGACGTTTTTTTAAATTTTGAACTAAGATTCATGGGAACTTGTAAAGATAGTATGAAGGGGCCCCATGTACCCTTCACCCAGTTTGCTCTGTTGTAGCTACAGTAAAATGTCTGTGCTTTTGCCATCTAGGGTCTGAGCTGAAAAGAGAGTTCCACTGTGCAGCCCGCCTTGCTCTGAACCAGAGTTGCCATCACAAAGGGTTTCTTGTCTGGGGCAGTGGTGGGGGGGAGGGCAGGGAATCTAGCTCTTAAAGCAAAAAAACCAACTGCGCTGTAGATTCTCCTCCACTGGGCTCAGCCTACAGCATTGGAGCCTGTTTTCAGCTGACCAACCAAACTGGGGCCTTAGCTTCTCTGTGGTTATTTTCCCCTTGATCCCCAGGGTGGGGACGTCTGTCTGCCTGTTCACTCAGATGCTTGAGCGCCTACTGTGAGCCAGTGCTATGCCCAGGAATTGCGTGAAGGCCGGAGAGGACTCAGTCTCCCACCGTGAGCTCAGGCTCCAGACCACGGCCAACAAACAGCCGTGTGATGTGCAGACTGAGAAGACAGCTCTGCCTTGGGGGCAGCACGGAAGATCTGAGCTGTCTGTCCAGCGACCAGGAGGAGGCTGCCGGATGACGGAAGAAGGGAATGCTGTGTCCGGGGAGGGAGCGCAGGGCTGTAGTGCGTTCTGATGTGGGGGCGTCAGTGGTGGACAGATGCTGGCGAGTCCAGTGTGGCCATGAGGAGTCCTTCATAGATCCTGTTGGTTCCTGGGGATGAGTCTAACCAGGTGCGTGGCTGCCTCCCCGTCTGCGCCATGTCCCACACAGGATGTCCGCTGTCCACACAATGTGAAAGACCTCTGTTTCTAACCTACGACCTCCACCATTTGAGAACCCTTTAGCATGGTTGGTTTTGACTAGAACAGTGTCTCGATGAATCTCCCGGGTGGATTAGCTTCATAATGCACCCTGATTACATGCACTGACATGTGGGTAAATTAGCAAGGTTCAGTTTCTGTTGGAGGAGTTTGCCCAGTGCAGTGAGTTGAGTTGTGAAGGAACTGATGCTAAGCGGCTCGGTGATTTCTCCGACAGTTTTGGCTGCTTCCTCAGCCCTGTGCTGGAGGCAATGCACTGTGGCATCAGCCTGGACCAGGAGGCTCACCTGCCCCATGGCTGTGGCTGGGGTCAGGCATCCTGTTCTTGTTGGCCCTGAAGAGATAGTTGAATGTAAGTTTTATAAAAAGGTTTGGGTGCAGCCCTGTTTCTTTGTCACTTATAATTGGAATTTCTTCCATCCAAAGGTTCCTCCTGGCCCTGATTTTGGTGGTAGTGGTCTGATGCTAACTTTGAAGAGGCCCTGATGTCCTGGGTCACCAAGTGGCTGAGCGACAGCTCTAACTATGGGTTATGAGTCTATGGTAGGAGGATGACCAATGAAAAAAGCGGTCATTCCAAAGTGGCACTGTTTCAGACCCAGGCTAGGGTATAATCTGGGTCCGTCTTAGGGAAGTAGACTGGTGGAATTCATCCAAGTAGCCCCTCGAGGACCGGTACCTACTGCCTAGGGGACAATCCAGTGGCTCCCAGCTACACACTGGGGTTCAAACACTGAACTTTAAAGCAGACAGGGTGCAGACTGCTAACCTGGCCATCGACAACTGTGTCGTGAGGGGGGTACGTGTCTATTCCCGTGTGGAGCTGCGTGGCTCTGCAGGCAGTGGCCTCAAGCAGTGCCGTCCCTGGCCCGGACTGCACAATCCCCCACCCCCTTTTTTTTAAGATTTTATTTATTTATTTGACAGAGAGAGACAGCGAGAGAGGGAACACAAGCAGGGGGAGTGGGAGAGGGAGAAGCAGGCTTCCCGCCGAGCAGGGAGCCCGATGCGGGGCTCGATCCCAGGACCCTGGGATCATGACCTGAGCCGAAGGCAGAGGCCCAGCGACTGAGCCACCCGAGCGCCCCAGCAGAATCTTCTTTATGAGGCTGCAAAGAAGACCCTTTCAGACAAGCTTGGGCTGAGAGGCAGGGGTCACTGGGAAGAAGCATATGGAGCGTGCAGCCTGGGGGGTCCGCCGGCTCTCCCAGTCTCGCATACCTGAAACACACAAAAGGCGGCTTTGACCCACCTAAAGCAGTACTGGTCCTTGTCACATTGTGGGTAAAGGCTGGGGTCACTATTCGCCTTCCCCCGCTGTTCTCCAGCAGGGGCCCTGCACTGCCACCACGCTCCCCTCCTTCCCTAGCCCCCCTCCCCTCTTGCTTTTGTAGATGGCTGCCTCACCCTCATCACCTCCCTCACCTCCTTTGCCCTGTATGCTTGCTGGATTCTTTCACCTGCCCGAGAGAGAAGGACCCCTGGCTGCCACCCAGCTGGCCGAGCAGGGGCTGGGGCGTCCCCACTGCCACAGCAGGGAAGCCCCCAGGCCCGCTCTGTGCCCCAGTCCAACCTTGGGCGCGGTGCATGGGAAGATGCACGGCCTGCAGGAACCCAAAACAGTGCCATGGGCTCTGAGTGCCCCTTGAAGTATTGTTTCAGTAACCTTGCTGCGATGGTTTTTCCTGACCATATTCCTCAAACCGAGAAATGCCTGGTACAGAAAAAGGGGCTGGAACGAACAGAAATGAGAGCCCTGGGATGACCCCGGGTCATGAAGCTACTTCATCTGCAAAGGGTTACCTTCAGTGACGATGTGGACGTAAAGCCCCAAACCCTGTCTCTGCAGGCTCTTGCCCAGACCCTGGGGGGGGCAGCGACCGACTGTCCAGGGGCCCGAGAGGAGGCCCTCCCATTGCCCACAGTTGCACCCCAGACAGCCCCACTGTGACAGCCGCCACTACCATGCCTGTCACTGCCTCCTCCTGGGTTCAGGCCCTTTGAGGTCCCTCTGCAACCCACCCCACTAGCGCCTGGCCCATGTCCTAGAAGGTGGTTCACGCGTGTTGGCTGAGTGAGTGATGCAGAGCCAGCCCAGCCTCGCCCCCTGTGGCATTTGTAAGTCGAAGCTCACTGGAAACAACAGCCCCCATGCCAGCCTGCCTAGGCTCTTTGCCCATCCACCCCACTTCGCTGGATCCCTTTGGTTAGTCCTGGAGACGGATTAAGACCAGGACCACAGGGCCAGCCAGCGGCCAATTGCCCCAGCCAGGGGCGGCTGCCTCCCACCATTCAGGCTGCGGCTTCCTGGCCAGCGAGGTCGGTCAGCTGCCTGCTGAGCTCCCTCCTGGGGCAACGCAGGCCCCACCCTTCCTCCTCCTTAGCCCGGCCATTTGGCAGCTAAGAAACCAGAGATTTGGAGAGATTAAGACATTTGCCCAGGGACCCACTCCAGCAGCCAGCTCCTCGGGGACGCTGGGATTTGAACCCAGGTCTGTGGCGGGTGTACCTGTGGCTCTGAGATTTACTTCTGTCCCCTGGGGCCGAGCTCTGCAATCGCCGTCCACAAGAGGTGGGACCGATCTTCCTGCGAGCCTGGGGGTGCGTATCGCGAGGCCCGCGCACAGGCAGAAAAGGGGGCACCGCATCCAGAAGAGCCTTGGAGCGGACACGCCAGCGTGCCCGCCCCGGTTCCCCGCATCCCCTTAACCGTGCCCCCTACTCCACCGCGCCCCATCCCCGGCCCAGCTCACCAAATCCCAGGCGCCCCTTCCCCGGCCAGGCTCCCCCACTCCCCGCTTCCTCTCTCCCCACACTCTCTCACTCCCTCGGCCCTCTCCGCTCCCCAAATCCCCCAGCCCAGCATGGCCCGGCTGGGCGCGCTGCTCCTGGCCGCTGCCCTGGGCACCCGGCTCAGCTTCGCACTGCTGGCGGCCGCCGTGGCCAGCGGCTACTGGCCACCTGGAGGTGGCGGACACGAGGCGCGCCGCGCGGCTGTCCTTGCACTTGGGGCTCTGGCGGTCTGCGAAGGTACGGCTGCGGAGGGCCGGGGCGCAGAGGGCACGGGCAGGGCGGCGCCCCCTCGTGCCCCCACTCCCCATCCCGGACTCTGTCCTCTCCCAAAACCGGGCAGTGACAGTAGGGCTACCAATCCGGGCTCAGAAATGAAAGGGTTGGGGGGGGCATTGCATGGCTCCATAAGGACCCAAGAGCCCGGGGAGCAGGAGCCCCGGGCAGTCCCTTGCCCTCGCTGGCGGGGCGGGGGTGTCTTGTGTTAGAAGTTGTGGGCACATTACTTGGTAGATGACAAGTCAACGCCAGGCTCTCAGTGAGCTCTGCCGTGGGCTGCTGCCTGACCTAGGAGCTCGTCCCTCCTCCGCCTCCCAAGTCTTCGTCAGATGGGGAGAAAGCGATACTTCTCAGGGTGCAAACGGGTGGGGGATGGTTGGAGGAATGAGGGGGGAAAGCAGGGGCAGGCCCGCCGCCCAGGGCACTGGGCTGCTGTTCTTCCTCAAGCAGGGGTGTGGGTGCTGAGGTGGGAGCGGGTGTGGGGCACTGGGGGCCTCCAGGAAGGCCCCAGGTCCACATCCAAGTGACCACGAGTTGTTTCTCAATTGCCGTCCCCAGAGGTTCAGCCTGGCACAACCAGGGCTCCGGGGAAAGACCCCTGTTTCTTTCCACCTTCCCCCCCCCACCACCACTTGACGGCTTGACACGCGCTCGGTCGCCAAATAGGAGTGCTGCATGCATTTCGGACCCGCAGAGAGAGGGGAAGGCATTCCCTCTGCAAGGCCTGCATGAGGGGGCGGCCAGCAGGCTGGGGGCCTCCCCTGCACAGGGACGGCACTGGGCGGAAGCAGCGCCTGGGAGAGCGTGTGAACGTGTGCGTGCATACATGGAAGCCTAGGTCAGTGTGAGTGTGAGCATGTGTCTGAGAGAGTATGCGTGTGTGCATGTGAGTGTATGTGTAGGTGACTATGAGTGTGTGTGTGCACACGCGTGCATGTGCGTGCGTGACCATGCCTTCCTCCGTGGCAGCTGGGGAGGAAAGATGAGCTGTTGGTTCAGCCACTGAAAGGACTGGGCCTAATGCTCCAAAGCCCTCCTGGCGTGTGCACGTGTGTGTCTGCAAATGCGAGTGGGTGTGCATGTGTGTGTGCAAGAGTCAGAGAGTCCACATTACGCGCACCTTTTCCTGTCCAGGCAAAGCCACACGTGAGCATGCTCAGGACCCCAAGCCTACGGGAGTGCTGAGGGCAGTGTCTCTTGGATGTTTGTGCTTTTTAGACCGACATCCATGTAGGTATTATTTGTATGTTACAGAAACAAAACAGAAGGTCTTAAACCCTCCAAACCCTTTTGGAACCACAACTCTGGGGTCCAGGAGAGAATCTGACGGGGCTCCATGGCCACTGGTCAGCCCACTGGGTTCGGCAGGGGTGAGAGCGTGCTGTCCAGCATGCCTGCAAGACCACCCATCTCAGAGAAACTCAGGGTGGGTGGTGACCCCACAGGTGTCCAGCCCACCAGGCTTTGTGTCCTTTCTGCTTCTTAGGGCAAAACAGCTGCATCCCCCTGATCGACCCCTTTGCCAGTGAGAACCTGGATGTCCCCACCCCTGTGCAGCACCTCATCTGTGAGTCCTGCAGCCGAGTCATCTCCCGTCTGTCCTTAATCTCCAGGCAAAACTGTCCTGTGAAGGTGGACCTCCAGGCAGACAGGGCTCTGAAGTGCTCACTTGGAGCTGCCTGGGGGGTGGGGCAGGTCCAGGTCCCTGCCGGATGCCGAGCCCCCTCTCCTGGCAGCCCTGCACCGAGCTGTCATGGTGGTCCTGCCCCTGAGCCTCGTCCTTGTCGTGTGTGGCTGGATCTGTGGCCTCTTCAGTTCCCTGGCACAGAGCGTCCTGCTGCTGGTTTTCACCGGCTGCTACTTCTTGCTGGGGGGTGAGTGTGGGCACCCTGGGGGGCGCGGATCCTGGGAGTGGGGGTGCCTCCTCTCCCGCCACCCTGTCCCCTGCTCCCATCTGGCCTGTGCTGAGCCTGGGCCCACCCAGGGGATTGAGCCGTAGCAGGCGAAAGCCCCTTGGGTAGTACTGGGCCTTTCTAGGACGGGGCAGGAGTGCTGGCTGTGGGCCTCGAGCCAGGGAGGCTGAGCTTCTAGGCACAGGAGGCATGAGGCTCCCCAAGGCGATCCCGCACCTGCCCTCCCACACCTGCACAAGGGGCATGAGACCGGCCCCCACCTGTTCTCCTCCGCTTCCTGGAGTGGCCTCGTGGGAGGAACAAGAGTGGGCAGTCCCAGGCAGTAAGACAGGTGGAAAGGGGCCTCGCAGCCCTTGGCAGTGACCCCGGTCCAGGCCCAGAATGTGACTGGTGACAGTCCCTCAGCTGACATTCGTCTAGACTCTGCTGGGCGGGGGCCAGGCACTCCCTTGGGGCTGCAGCTGTGGCCTCCCTGTGGTCCCAGCTTCCAGCTGAGGTGTCCAAGGATTCACCAAGGTCAGCAGGAAGCTTGTCCTGGGGATCCCATGCCCCCCGCTTTGGTGCCCCCTGCTGCCCAAGGCCGGCTGTCACTGATGGTGGGCTGGGGCTCCTTGGGGTCAGTCATCAGAGGCCTGTGCTGTCAGGGGCAAGGCCTAAGCTGGGTCTGGCGTCCGGGCCAGCTCTACTGTCAAGGCCATGGCACTTGAGGCCCAGGCCATGTCGGCCTAGGGCTCCCTCTGGGGCAGGCCTGCCTCCTCGCCAGGGGGTGCTGGCCCTGTGGGAGGCCTTGGTCAAGTGGGAACGGGCGGGCTTGCCGGGTGCCGGGAGCCTGGGGGACCCGCAGCCTGGGCATGAGCTGTAGAGAATGAGAGCAGGAGAAGAAAGCATGTCAGCTGTGGCCTGGCCCCAGACACCGGCTGTGTGGGTCCAAATCCAATTAAGGAGCTTGGGAAGCCAGGGAGAGGAGCAAAGGGGTGGGATTGTATCCAGGAAGCCTTGGCGTTATGCTCTCAGAAGCATGGCCCGGGCCAGTGGGTGGAGGGAGGGCCTGGAGGCAGCTACTCAGGGGTGCTCCTCTTCCGAGGGACCTGGTTCAAGGAACACCTGACCTGCTCCGTGCGCCCAGGGTCCAGCCTGGCTGCACCACTGCTGTCCCCGCGGGGGCTGCTTCTTGGCAGTGGGTCAGCTGACATCACTGTCAGCACTCTGCAGCGCCAGAAGGAGGAGAGTGTCAGCGTCGGGGACACTGATGGGAGCAGGCCTGGGGGTGCGGATCGCAGACCTGGGGGCAGGCAGGGGGCCTGCAGAAGCTGGAGGCTTAGGCTAGGGCCAGAGGAGCGGCGGGGGTAACCCAATGAAGTGGGGGGCACTGTGAGGAAGGGGGCCTGGCCAGAGCTCCAGAGCTCCCCGACTGCCAGTAGAGGTCACTGGCTCTGTGTGTGTGTGGGGGGGGGGGGGACACTGGGGGATACGGGAGGGTGCTGTGTATGCAGGGGCAGTTATGTGAGTGGGGACTGTTGCTGAGGGTGTAGGTGGTTCTCTTTATAAGGAGGGTTTTGTGGGGTGAGGTCTTGGGGTTTGGGAACTGAATCAGAGCCTCCATTTCCCCCAAAGGCCAGTGGGTAGGGGCTCCTGGTCTGCAGGACCGCCTCGGCCAGGACCTGGTTAGGCAGTTGCCCCCAGAGGGTAGACACAGCGAGTGGTCCCCCTGCCCCCCTCCCCCAGGTGCCCTGACCCTGGTGGGGGTCAGCATCTACATCCACTGCTCACACCTGCCCTTCGCTGAGACCGCCCGCCAGTACGGCCCCAGCACCTGAGGGACATCCGGGTCAGCTTCGGCTGGGCTCTAGCCCTGGCCTTGGAGGCGCTCTGTGGCCTCCTCCTGCTCACAGCAGCCCGAGCCCGCAGCCTGAGCCGGCAGCCGGGGGGCCCCTGCTCTGTGGTCATCTGAGTCCCAGAAGGGCCCAGTTTCCCCTTTGCACCCGCAGGCCTGGCTGGAGTTCTGGCTGGGAGGGGGCCCCTGCAGGGGCAGGGGTTGGGGGCAGAGCCAAGGATCGAGGCTTCTCTTGCTTGGCAAAGCTGGATGTTTGGGGGCTCCTCTGCCTGGTCTATGCCCTTTAGGGACCAATTGGTTTGGCTTCCTCTTGGGGATGAGAAAAGGGAGTCCCAAAAAGAGTTAGCAAGTGGCCCAAGGGAATGTTAATGGGGTCGGTGTGGGGGTGCTGCAGGTTCCTGGTGCTCAGCGGGTCCCCTTGCCTCTCGAGGGCATAGCCTGCCCTCGCCCTCTCCCATCAGCCCTGGTGTGCCATGCTGTCCTCGTTCCTAGGGCCCTGGATCAGGTGGAGGAGCTACCCTCTGTCCTGGGGAGGAGAGAATTTGAGAGAGAAGCAGGTATCTGTTAAACACCCACTGAGTTAGGCTCCGAGCAGAGTATCACCTGCTCATCTGCTTGTCCAGTCCTCCAGTCGCCCTTCACATTAGTTACCATTCACCCATTTTACAGAAGGGGAGTCTGAGGCCCAGACCATCCCAGAGCACATGGCAGAGCCAGATGCCTTGACATCGGGTGGGACTCCCAGGCCTCTCTTTGGTCCACTGGCTCAAGGGCAGATGTTGCAGGGGAGGATACTGAGGAGGGGGCCCGGGAGTCCCCTGGGGTTTGCAAGGGCAGCCGAGTGGGCTGGATGCACCTCGGCCCCCTCCCTGTTCTCAGGCCTCTGTCATCGTCCTGGTGCATCTGCCGCCTCTACTGGGCTGGCGCTCCAGGACCCCGATCCTCCCATCTGCAGCCCCCTGGGGAATGTCTGTGATTCCAGGGGCCTGGTGAGTGCCCAGAACTAGCAGGTGCGGAAGTCCTAGTAGGGGTGGGGTGGAGGGAGCCATGCCACAGTGGCAAGGCGAAGGGGCTTCTTAGCCAGGAGGGGCCGGGGCTGCCCAGGGAGGCAGAGGCCGGCCTGGAGCTTGGGCCGCAGGCTTACTAAACGGCGTGGGTGGGGCTCAGCTCGCAGACCAGGGCGCAGGCGCACTGTGGCTAGGCACCTGGGTCATCCATCGTGAGGCTCGCTCATTCCTGTAGGTAGAGAAGTCGAGGTGGCAGAGAAGGGTCCCCAGGGGGCTGTGCAGCACCCAAAGCCCCAGACAGCCCCATCTGGGGTTCAGGAGTCTGGGATGTGTGCGGGGAGTGGATGGCGGCCCCTCTGGCCCTGGTCTACCCTCCCCAGCCCCCCTGTATCGCTCCAAAGGTTACAGGAAGCTCCTTGGGGCCCTGGGGGCTGGCACCATTTGGGGGTCCCACTGAGGGCTTCCCTCTGTACTTATGTTTTAGTGTTTACCATTCCATGTCGCAACGTTGTGCCAATTGGTCCTTAAATAAATCAGTTTATGCTCCGAGCGGATAAGCCTTGTTTTTCTCTCTTAAAATCTTTTCAGAATGGATAAAACAGAATTATAAACAGTGTGCGGGCAGTAACACTGTTAGCAGCTGTGTGTGTGTGTGTGTGTGTGTGTGTGTGTGTGTCCGTCCAGCCAGAGACGTCCTCTGCAGACACAAGCCCCTTCTCTGTGGGTCGGCACGGGCGGCAGAGGATCCCACCCCCCGCCTCTGCGTCGGAAGGGGCAGGTCCTCTCAGCTTGTGAGGCTCTAACTGGACTTCTCCTGCGGTTCGCTGGGGAGCGGGGAGCACAGGGGTTTGGTGGGGGCCTCCCTCTCTGCCGCTGAGCCTACATGACCCCAGGAACTGCTAAAAACGCGATCCAATCCCAAATCATCTACAATAAAGACATACTCTTTTGTAAGCAGGAAAATTTATTTTTGAAAAAGGAAAAAATATATAGATGACCACAGGATAAAGCCCAGCCCCCGACACAGCAGCTGGGTCTCCCTGCCATCCAGCCCCGCTGTCCCTTTCTAATCTCCTGTCACCCTTGCTCCGGTGTCCCCCAGCCCGAGCATGGGACACACTCATCAGCTGCGCGACTCCGAGCAAATGGCTCAGGGCAGTTTCCTTTTCTGTGCGCTGGGAGCAGAAGCCCTGCCCTGGCTGCTTCCTGGGCTTTGGTGAGGGGCTGGGATGGGGTACCCCCTGTCTGCCCTCGTGGCGCCCTGTCTGGGACATGGGAGGCACCGAGGGCTTGCTGAATGAACGCAGGTGGAAGGCTTCACCCTGAGGGTGGGAAGTCGGGGGTCCGAGGAGACAAGGGGGTAACGGGGTGTTGTTTCGTTGCCTCTCCTCCACCTGCTCCCTCAGGACACCTCCACTCCCCACCTGGATCCCAGCCAGGGCACAGGGTCTGGTCACCCCGTCCTCAGGGCCCCAGCTGCCTCAGCACGAACCCCCACTTCTTCAGCACCAGCTCGGTGTCGTGCGCGGAGACGTCGCAGTGCCACACGGCGCGCACCGACCTCTCGGTCCAGGGGAACACCAGCACGCGCACCGCGTGGCCGGTCTGGGCCACCTCATCCGCGCTCACGGCCTGCAGTCGCCGGCAGAGCTCCTCGGGCGGCGGCCCGTCCACCCTCACCATCACCATGTTCGTCTCCACGGCGGCGAGGTCCACGGAGCAGATGGGGGACTCCAGCTCCTGGAACCCTGGGCCGGGGGCCTGTGGTGAGTGGAGCCCGACCCCAGGACCCCACCCCAGTCTCCAGCGTCCGGCCCTGTCGTCCCGGGACAGGCAGAGGGCAGCCCGACTGTAGTGGGGAAAAGAGGGACCCTTGGAGTCCCACACACTTGGCTCTGCTACTTTTCAGCTGTGTGACCTGGGACAAATCAGTTAACCTCTGGGCCTTGGTATCCTCATCTGTAAAGTGGGGACATCATGGGATTGTTTTGAGGACTCAACTGACAGATGTAAAGACCTAGGTTAGAGGCTCCACTTGGCCAGATCCTGCAAGAAATAGGAATTCCTGACATCCATTGCATGCTTCTTGGTCCAGACCCTCCACCAGTGAGGCCTGGTAAAGCATTCTAATTCCCTGGCTCCCACGCCTTGTGGCTCAGGGCTAACCTACATGTTCTAGAGTCAGAAGGACGTACGCCTGCAGGGGATTTGGGTCCCGCTACGGGGGGGCCCCCAGGCACTCTTCTGGGAGCAAAAGGAAGTGAGGGTGGGGGGCCATGGTCCAGGTACCTCTGGCGAATCTCTGAGCGTTCTGGTGGTCCGTCAGCAGCACCTCCTCGAAGTCCGCCAGTCCTACTAGGGCAGTGGCAGCCAGCACCCCGGCCTGGCGCATCCCCCCACCCAGGGCTTTCCGGAGGCGCCAGGCTTCTTCGATGAAGTCCTTGGGCCCCCCAACCAAGGCCCCCACTGGTGCACCGAGGCCCTGGGAGGAAGAGAGGAGAGAGTCCTGCCTGCCAGCCCCCCAGGTGTGCATCTTTGCCCTTGTGGCCAGGGGAGGGGGATGTGAGGGGGACAGGGCCCCGTCTGGGGAGGGGCTAAAGGGGCCCAGGGCCAGCTGCTGCCAGCATCGGAGCTCGGGAACACCAGCTGACTCCTATTGTGAGCACCCCACTGTCCTGTGTCTGGGAGGCAGCCAGTGGCTTCCCCACCTTGGAGAAACAGAGAGACACAGAGTCACAGTGCTCCACGATGCGGGCGGGGGGCACGTGCAGAGCTACCGCAGCGTTCATCAGCCGGGCCCCATCCAGGTGGACCCGGGCCCCGTAGCTCCGTGCCAGGAGGTGCACCTGGGGGCAAAGAGCAGGCAGCGGTCAGAGGGGCTGGGGTGGGGCCAGAGCGGAGGGAGGACGGGTCTCCAGGGGCCTCGAGGGGTCCAGAGTGAGCAGAGCTGGGCTGGTGTCCAGCTTGGCCCCCAGGGACTGGAGCAGGCACTCTGCTGCCTGAGGCTGGGTGCCATCCTTTATCTCATGTGTACGGCGGGCTCGCTGTGGCCAAATGCTGACGTGGTGCGAGCCAGAGATGCCGCATCCTATTTAAGCCACCCCATGGCTCCGTGAGGGAGATGCTCTCAGCCCTTCCCATGGGCAAGGAATAGGTCTGCAGGGTCAGTTAGCAGCAAGTTCTCACACCAGGGAGCCGCACGGTTCAGCCCTCACACCCTGCACAAGCTGGTGCTGCTCTGGGACTCCCTCCCTGGGGAGAAGGGGGGTTGTCTCTGTCCTTGGGGCCTTAACTGGGGCAGTAGTGCCCTCCATATCTGCAGCCTAGGACCAGCCACACACGTCCCTCCCGCCGCAGTTCCAGCTGCCATGGGCACCCACGGTGTATAAGAGGAGACACAGTCCCGGGAGAGGGGCTCCACAGGACAGGAAGCCAGGAGCTGGCTGGGGGTGGGCAGAGTGGTGGGGTAGGGCCTACCTGGCGTAGGTAGTCAATGGGGAGCACCCGGCCCCCTGAGCTGCTGTGGGTGTTCTCCAGGCAAATGAGCTCACAGACCGGGTGGTAGGGGCTCCCGAGGCCCCGTGTGACCACCCTCTCCAGCTCAGCCAGGTCCAAGGTGCCATGGGGCAGGTCTGGGAGGGGGTGGGAGTGCACCCCAGCGATCTGCAGGTATTGGGGGTGGAGGGATGGAGATCAGGTCCAGGGGCGCAGCGTCACCTCCTGTCTCTGTCCCATCGGCTCCTCTCCAGCTCGGGGCCATCGAGCCTTCCCCTTGTGCTGCGGACGTGGGCACGGACACCGCAGCAAGAAGGGGAGGAACCAAGGGCCGTGTTCTCCCGAGGTGGGTCCTTCCCCACCGAGCGCCGCGTGCTCCGGATGCCCACTAGGGGGCAGCAGAGCACCAAGCACAGCCGGTGTCTGATGGAGGGGTGCTGGGCCGCGGCTGCCCCCACGTGGTCAGTCTGGGAATGGCTCCCTTTCCCGCCTCCTTAGAGACGCCACCACCCCGGCCATTTCTTCCCTCTGCAGGTCCCAACACGGTGCCGGGGAAGCAGGTTCCCACCAGAAATGCTGAGCAGCCTGTGCTGGCCCCAGGTGAGGGGTGCCGGGTCCTTACCTGAGCCACCCCGCCCTGCTCGTAGACGTGGAGGTGGCACTCCTGCCCGAGGAGGATCTGGGAGCCTCTGCGCTGGCAGTGACACATCACTGAGATAGATGGGGGAGGGCAGTGTTGGCTCTGAGTCCCATGGGGCCCATCTGCTCCTGCCCAGCTCCCGGCTGAGCCCGGAGGCTAGCTCTCAAGTGCCTATGCCAATGAGGAAACGGCACCCCTTCAAGACACCTTACTGTGTGTGCCAGAAAACAGTCCCGTGAACTACAAAGTCTAGGATAACCATCCTGTGAGGTGTTGCGCCCTGTGCCCTGCAGCCCACCTGCAGAGCATCTCCTGCTCGGAAAGCTGGCCACCATGCTGCCCCCGGGGGCCAAGCAGCTCAGGGCATGGGCATCAGTCAGGCCCAGCAGGAAACAGAGGGCACATGCACACTTGGAAGCCAGAGTTTAATAAAGGGACAATTCACAAAGGTGTGGCAGCATGGAAGGAAGTCACAAGGGACAGAGCAAGACCCCCAGGCCATAAGGGGCAAGAGGGAGGTGTGGTTACCAGAACCTGGAGATAGGGCAGTGTGGAGAGGATTGCCCGCCTGGCCCAGGGAGACCATCTGGGGAGGGAGCTGGGGGAGGAGCACGGATACACTGACCTCACTCTCCTCCCCTCCCTCATCTCCTGCTAGGGGCCCTCCTGGCTGAGCCCAGCAGAAGTCCAGATGGCTCAGGACCCCACTGATGTTGTCCCAGCCTTGCCCCCAGCACCGAGGAGAGAAATGCTGAGGGAGGACCTGGAGGGCAAATGGGAGTCACCCCACGCCGCGCTCACCAGAGATGAGGTTGGCCATGGTGTTGGTGGGCACAAACAAGGTCCGGTCCACCCCCAGCAGCTTGGCGGCCTTTTCCTGCAGCTCTGAGGAGGAAAGGGAGGGGGGTGCAGGGAGACTCCATCAACAATGACACTCTCCTTGCATTACTCATAACCATGAGCTCGTGTCCTGCCGAGGTGAGTGGCCAAGCCAGACAGACGCCCTGGTCCGCTGGCTGCAGACTGTGGTCTTGGTGACTGCATATCCAGGTATAGAGGCCCCTCAGTCAACCCTCTGCCAGCCTCCTCCTGGGCCATGGTCCCCCCCCAACATTGAAACTCTGTGGTTTGAACCCCCCTGTCCCATCCAGACCTCACACCTGTCTCACTTCCTTTCCCATCAGCCCCTTGCAGGTGGGGCCCTGCGGTTTCTCTGCTGACTTCCTCTCCCAGAACAGAAGGACAGGAGCTCTCAGAAGAGGAGACTCTGGGGAGTTGGGGGGCGGGGCTTCAGGCTCCTGCTTTAAAGCCTGCTGTGGCTCCCCTCTGCCTGTGGTATCCAGTCCAAAGTCTTTAGCATGACATTCAAGGCCAGTGGGATTTGCCCTCTGCCTTCACCTCCACGGACAGGGGGCTCCTGGTACCCCACACTCCAGCCACATTCCCTATCTGTATCCTAAACACTTTTCTCAACACCCAGTGAGCCAGCTCCATTCCCTGCCTGGAGGCTCCACTCGCCCTGTAAGAGGCTACTCTGCAAAGTCCCCCTTCCCTGTGAGTTCCATGCCTCCCCTCCCCCCCAGTTCCCAAGGCACTCTCTGGGGACACATGCCAGCCCCAGCACTTCCTCCACCCCATGGTGTCTGTGTGTCTG